TTAGGAGAACCTGGTCTGGCTCCAACCCTGAATGGCTGTACTTGGGTTGGGCTGACAACAGGAACCTTTGTATGTGATCCTCTTTCCTTCCCGCTCCCCACCCCACCCCCAGAATTTACCAGAGGCCAAGGCCAGTCTGGCCTACTTAGTGCCCATCTGTGACCAGCGGTCATCCATGCCAGTAACATTCTGCTCCTCAACAGCTGGGAGGACAAAGGCTACACATGTAATGAAAGGCAGCCCTCTCCTAATGTGGCTGCTACCGTCTGGGTTTGGGCTCATCTCCTTGTTTCCAGACAGCTCACATCTGAAAAGGGAGCTCAGCCTTAAGGGAACCATTCATTCCCCAAGGCACTGATCCATCAGGGCCTGGCAAGACACACCAGGCCTTGATTCTTGATCTGAATGGGAAGGATTTATTCATCTTCTCCTCCGAAAGAGGGAGGCTATTTGAATGACGTTCTCCCCCCTCCCCTCTAAAGGATTTGCTAACTGCTCTTGACTCCAAGAGAGAAAAATGCAAGGCTTTTAGGCTCAAAACATAGCTAAGGAGTCATTTCATCTGAATTTCCTCCTTCATTACATGAGGAAACTGTGACCCAGAGAAGCTAAGTGACTAGCAAGCACAGTGCCTGGCACATAGTAGGTGCTTAATAAATGCTTCTTGACTGCTTGATTATTCAACTAAAGTAAAATAGTTACCTCATGGCAGGGCTGGGCCTAGAACAGGGGTCTCCTGAGTGCCAACATTATGATCTTTTCACTACCTAAATAACCTTGGGCTAGTGTCATAATCTCCCTGGGCCTGAGTAGAAGACCCCTGAGGTCTGTTTGAGCTCTAAATCTCTGACTGTATGATTTTAGTTACTGGTCTTTCTGTTTTCAGAGGCACTGAAGGTCAATCCTTGTGCCAGGTGGACATCTCCCTTGTATATAAATGTGGGTCAAGGAAGTTCTCTGTGTTCAAGGTCTCTAGTAAAAGGGAAGCCATCCCCTCCCTCCCAAGTAAGTCCATTCTATTTTCGGACAAATCTAACCGTTAATAAATTCATCCCATTTAGCAAGGTGAAATCTGCCTCTTTATAACTTCTAACCATTCCTCTTATCTCTGCCTTCTGGGGCCAAACAGAACAAATCCCATCCCTCTTCTAAATGATAGCCCATTCTAGACATTCAGAAGATAGAGACGTCTTCTGGATTCTTTTCTCCAGGATAAACAACCTTAATCCATTCACAGGAGCACAGGAGAAATGCTCCCTGTTAGGCCTGGACCCCATTCCTCTCATGATCCTGGCTCCCTTCTTTCCAAAATCAAGGTACAGAAGAGACCAGGTCTGAGTACGACGAGGCTAGTGAGGTGGCCACCTTCCTTCTCCTAGATGCTGTGGGCCTTAACACTATTTATGATTATTTCAGCTTTTTTCACTCCCAGATCATGTTGCTGGATCATCTCATACTTGCAGGCCCAGGTCTTTTTTGCATGAATTGTCTTACCTCTCACACCCTGGATTTATGATTTTTTAAAAACTCAAGCTCAGAGGATTTTTTGTTGTTGTTGTTATTGGTCTAGAACTGTGATTTCATTGGTGTAGAGTCCTCATGGTAAGGAAACTCAGTCCACCAAAATAGATCAGCATCTGCTTAGCAACTTAAAATCACGGAGGGCTGCATGGTTGGTAAGTCAATCAGTCAGCCAACAAACATTTATTAAATGCTTACTATTTAGAATAACTTATAGACATAAACTTTGAAAAGAGAGAGGCCATTTTAATAGCATTCCTCAGCACCTCTCAGGGCCAGGCACTGTGCTAAGCATGGGGGAGACAGAGACACATAAAAATATAGTCCCTGTTCCCTGGGAGCTCACATTTTAACAGGAGAAACAACCTGTAAATAACTGCGCACGTACAAGATTAATACAGTGTAAATGAAAGGTGATCTCAGAGAGAAGGAACTGGGGGAGGGGGAAAGAAGGAGGAGCCAGAAAGTCTCCTTCAGAAGGTGTGCCTTGAAGAAAGCTAGGAGGTAGAGCGGAGGATGAAAAGTATTGGAGACACAGGGGACAGTCAATAAAAGGCAAAGAAATGCAACAGAGTACCGCCCTCAGTGCCAGTAAAGGGACCCCTGTGATCTCCTTCTGACCATCTGTGGGCTGACAGCTCTGGAAACTACCACTGCTACCTCCGATTCCCTCACCCACAAGGTCTACTGCTGGTTTGCTGGGGCATGGCCTGCACTGGACAGTACTCCTCTCTCACCCTGGTGCAACAGACCTTTCCTGCACATCTTTTAATCTTTTAAAATTGTCTTGCCCCATCCTTTTGTGGGTTCTGCCACTCCAGAATTTGTTTTGAGGCATTATTTAAAGTTGTTTGGAGGGGTTTAGGGGAGAGCTCAGGCAAGTCCCTGACTTTTCTCTACCATCTTGGCTCTGCCATCAAAAGTCAAAGAAATGGGGCATCGTGTTTGAAGAGCAGCAGGTAGGCCAATGTAGTCGGATTGCAGAGTATAGAGAGAGGAAAAAAAAGAGTAAGAAGATTGGAAAGGTAGGAAGAAGCCAGGTTGTGAAGGGCTTCAAATGCCAAATATTTTCTCTTTGATCCTGGAGGTAATAGGGAGCCATTTGGAGTTTTGGAGTGGAAGAGGGAAGAGGAATATGGTGACATGGCTGGATCTTTGCCTTAGGAAAATTACTTTAGCACCTGAATGGAGAATAGAGTAAAGAGGGGAGAGGCTTGAAGTAGGGGGACCAAGGCTATTGCAATAGACCAGATGATGAGGTCCTCCATGACGGTGGTCCCTGTGTGAGTGGTGAGAAGGGGACACATATATGAGATGGTGGGAAGGTAGAAACAAGACTTAGCAACAAACTGGATATGTGAGGTGAGAGCGGCCCTTGACAGTAACATTAAACTGGGGAAGAAAGATGAGAAGTTCTGTTTTGGGCATATTGCGTTTCAGTTGGCTTCAAGACATTCATTTAGCATCTGTTCCCAACCTATGGTCTTATCTTTTTTTCTTTTTCTTTCCTTCTTTTCTTTTCTTTTTTTTTTCTTCCGGTATGCCAACTTAGCTTTTAAAAAGCTAATTTTATTGCCCTCAGCACAAATTATCCGCCTTAGTTCATTCTGGCTTTAGCCTTCTCATACTATTTCCCCAGGACAATGATACTCCTGTTTTATTCATCCCCCAACTCTTGTCCTTGTTTCCATCTCCTATACGTATTTTTTTAGAATCTAGGTTGGATGCATCTACCTCATCTCTTTAGGTGGTTTCCTTGGATACTCTGGTCTTTTTTGGGAAAAATTCCCTCTTTTTCCTCTCACCAGAATCATTTGCATGTATTTCTTCAGAATTTCATTTTTGAAATCTATAAACCTTCTTTCCCTATGGAATTTTAGAACATAGGATACCACTTATTTTCTCTCTTAACTTCTCTAATCCTATATTCTTAAGGTCTAATGTCTATGTGAGACAATACTACCTTTCCTCTCCTATTAACAGGGTAACTAGGGGGCTCAGTGGATAGAGTGCTGGCCCTGGAGTCAGGAAGGCTTATCTTCCTGAGTTCAAATCTGGACTCAGACACTAGCTGTGTGACCTGGCCAAGTCAATTAACTCTGTTTGCCTCAGTTCTCTCATCTATAAAATGAAATGGAGAAGGCAATGGCAAACCACTCTAATATCTTTGCCAAGGAAACCCTAAGTAGAGTCACGAAGAGTTGGACACAACTGAAAATTGACTAAACAAAATCATGAATTCTAAATTAAAGTGGTCCTTTCTCCAAAGGTTCCTATTTTTTCTACTTCTACAACTTGATGATCTTTGCTGGTCAGAATCAGGTATGAAATAACAATTCCTTCTCACTGCTTTCTTCATCTTTTGAGCAACGACTTTATCATGAAGGCAAGTCAAGAGTTTTTGAGAAGCTTGCTTTTTGACAGAGATGGAGCTCCAGCTGATACCCAGGTAACTAAAGTCCTGTATCACTGATATATCATGCCCTTCGAATCTAGGAATGCTGACTCTAAATTCATCACTTCCCACTGCACTATCTCAATAATAATAATAGTAATAATAATAATAATAATAATAACAGCTAGCATTTATATGGTACTTCAATTAATTTAATTAAACTCCAATTGCTACCTATTGTCTCCAGGATCAAATATAAAGCTTGCAAAGCACTCCATAAATATTATCTCATTTGATTCTCACAACCCTGGGATGTAGATGCTATTATTATCCTCGCTTTACAGAAGAGGAAACTGAGGCACAGAGCAGTTAAGTGACTTCCCCAGGATCCCACAGCTAATAAGTGTCTGAGGCTGGACCTGAACTCAGTTCTACCTGAGTCCTGGTCCTGTGCTCTAGCAACTGCTCCACCTAGCAGCCATAATAATAATATTGACATTTATATAGGCCTCAGTCTAAAACCACTTTGTATGTACTATGTCAATTGTGCCTTATAACAACCCCATAAGGGTGCTTCCAGGAAGAAGACAGTATGACCTAGTAGATAGGACTTGGAGTCAGGAAGACCTGGGTTTGAATCCCATCTCAGACACTTACTAGCTATGTGAGTCACCCTAGGCAAATCACTTCTGAGTGACTTCTTTGAGTTAACAGTTTTCTCATTTGTAAATAGGAGGGTAAAAACAAAAATTAACTCTAATTTGTTTCTTGGACTCATCTATTTCTCCCTGCTGATCAGGTAATCTATAATATACTCCTTTGACATTATTGATTCTTCTTCTCCTTCCACTGACCCTCACCCAAATGCCTTCCACCATCTGGTAGAGTGGCATGATTACAGAGAACTGTGCTGTCTTCAGCATGCATCTAACAAATGACCCATTTACATCACCAAGATTTGGTAAGATGGGATGCACAATTGGAATCTGCCTCTGGAAGGGATATACCATATTCAAAAGGAACCCAATAGATAAAAGAGAAGTGGATTCACGTTGTATAGTAAGAAGAAGAACTCTTGAGTTACCTGTTGATTAATACTTGTCGACCTTAGGCCATAATGTTGAGTAGTGTGTGTTTCTTGCCCATTCTTTCTTGAGCAATCCTACAAAGACAAATCCAGAATGGAAAAGTGTGAAAAGAGCATGTGATGTAAGAGTCAGAGTACATGCATTTGAATCCTGGCTTTTCTATATATTACCTGTCTGCCTTTTGGCAAGTAATTTTATCTCTCTAAGTCTTAGTTTCTTCATCTGTAAAACAAAGGGGTATAAGGTAGAAGGGGGATTGGACTAGATGGTGTCTAAGGTCCCTCTGATCCTACAACTCATCCATACCCCAAAACATGGGACACTCAAGGTAACCAGTTCAGTGAACTTAATGCCCTCTGATGTATAACAGCATCAGGGCTGTGCATGAAAGGAAGAGAATGAAAGGATGGTGTTGAGTGAAAGATGGACTAACCCATTGGAACTCAGGACAATGGCAGCTGGGAGAGTAATCGCAGCTTAGAGGAGAGAGAGGTCTCAGGAAGATGAGGCAGGAGCATGATAAAATAACTCCAGTATCTTTCATAAATGTTCATCAAGTTGAATTTCCCCTCCCTGGCCTCCAATTTCCACAGCACTCATTTATCACAAGGAGAAATTCTGTGTCTCATTCTCTCCTTTGTGGTGGGGGCTTTCAAGCTCCTGGTGGTCATTGTCTTTGCTGAGGACCAACATTCTGATGCCCACATCATCCCAGGCAGCACCTGGGCCTGCCCTGATAATCTTCATGTGCACTCCATCAGAGAGTCAGAGACACTCAGACCTGGAAGGAGCCTCCTTTGGGTCATCTAACATTCAAGGCTCTCCATAATCTGGCAATGTCCTACCTTTTCCACCTCATGTTGTACTATCCCCCTTCCTGGACTCTGTGTGCTAACCTGGACTATTCACTGTCCCCTCCCTAAATACAGTTCATGCTCTCTTGTCCCTCCATATTTGCTCATGCCATTTCCTATCCCTGGAATGTCAGCTTTAGGCCAGGGGCCAAGTAGTGTATGTTTCTTGAGCCTTCTGTCCTCTGCAGTCCTACTGAGCTCAACCCAGAATGGCATAGTAAAAAGGACCCTACAGTTGGAGTCAGAAAGTCTGTGTTTGAATCCTGGCTCTGCAACTTAATACCTGGTGACCTTGGCCAAGTCATTTCCTGCCTAAAACAGATATAAGAAATGTCTAGAGAATGATCCCAGAAGCAGCAGTAGTAGTCCTACCCCGAGGTTACACTGCCCCTGGGCACTTTCCTTCCCTGAGAAGCAGCTGGAAACAAACAAAACAAAAACAGGGGAGGAAATTACCCCAAGACCACTCAAGCAATTCCTAGGCAAAAAAAAAAAAGTTTTCTCCATCAAAATCCATAGGCTTTTCTTTGTCAGAAGTCCTCATCCAAGCCCACAAACCCACCCACCAGCCTATTATAAAGAGAGGCTCCCTGGAATTCTCTGCGGTGCTTCATCCAGACCAGACCAGGTGACTCCTTGGAAAGCAACTGTCCAGGTCTGACAGAAAAATTCTCCCCTCCCCTCTCCCTCCTCAGTGCCTCTACGGCATAAACCTCCTGCTCACCACATCCACTTTCACTCATGCCATTCCTTCCCAATTTAGCTATATCAATTAATAGTGAATCAATAAACATTTATTAAGCACCTACTATATGCCAGGCCCTGTTAAATGTCAGGGACGTAAAAAGAGGACATAAATACTCAATAAAAAATTGTAATCACTTAAAAAAAAAAGAGCTATATCAGTCTGATGAATCCTTTATGCTAGAACAAGTCCTAAGCCAAAAATACTAAAGACATCTTACTTCTCTGTCTCAGTTTCCTTATCTGTAAATGGGTAGGATTTCCCAAGATTCTAAGATTCCATTCAATTTGAATCTACATCTTCAAAATATAGGAGAAACGGATCCCTCTCCTGCTTAGTGCATGAAATCCAAATGCCATCTCCTTTAAGAGGTCTTCCTTAATTCCCCAAATATGAATGGGCTTTTGTCCTTTGGACTTCACAGAACATATTGTCTATACACCTCTCATACATTTACTATTACTCAAGTATCACAGTTATTTGGCCATGTATCATATTCCCCTACTAGACTATAAGCTCCATGAGACCATGGGACATAGGACCATGCTTTAACCAAACTTTGTTTATACTACCTTATTAAATGTGAGGAGAACTGAATTGAATCTAGTCCAACCCAAGCCCAAAACAGGAATCTGCTTTACAACATTCTTGGCAAATGCTTATGCAGACCTGACCCAGCAATCAGGCATCAAAAGATGTCACTGAAACAGATCCAGACTACTTTATGTCTTCTGGGGATATGTTCTCCTTCCACTGTGGCGGGGCCAGTGGCATTTAGACCAGCCTGGTGCCAGGAGAAATTACTGTACCAGGAAACCTTACTCCCCCACCCCTGCCTCTTGGATAAGCAAATTGAAATTCTCTGCCCCACTAGCTTGGCATTCTGCATAAATTATTCTGGGTTTTTTTTCTTCTCTGTCTCCTCCTCTTTCCCCTTCAGTAACACACAGTGATAAGATATGAGTTTTATTCAAGTTTTTGATTAATTGACTTCAAAGGTTTATATTATCTGAGCTAGATCTGGCTTCCCTCTGCTTCTCCGTCAAAACTCCCTTTGAAGCAGAGGAATGGATGGGGAGAAGAGGGTGCAAGTCAGGGCTATTTTCTAAGGCTCAATTTGGTTTTCCGCTGAAGCTTTCAAGCTTAAATCTGAGAAAATTTCAGTATAGTATAATGGAAGAGCGTTGGATTTGGAGTCAGGACCCAGGTTCGATTCCTATCTCAGCTACTTACTATCTGTGTGACTTTGGCTAGTCACTTGAACTCTCCAGACCTCAAGGGGGTTGAGGTAGATGGCCTCTGAGGTCCTTTTCTAGTTCTAAATCTGTGGTCCTATGATATATCATAAACCCTCAACACTGACAACTATCCAGGATTCTAAAAGTTTAAAGGTCATGGGATATTTAACCCGAAAGGGACTCTTAGGGATAATCAAGTCTATGTTTCTTACTTTTTGTCGCTGTTGTTCAGTCATTTCAGTTGTGTCTGATTCTCTGTGATTCCATTTGGGATTTTCTTGAAAACAAGATACTGGAATGGTTTGCCCTTTCCTTTTCCTGCTCATTTTACAGATGAGGAAAGTGAGGCAAACAAGAGTTAAGTGATTTGCTCAGGATCACGCAGTGAGTAAGTATCTGAGGCTGGACCTGAACTCAGGTCTTCCTGAGTCCCGGCCTGGCACTCTATCCACTGTACCACCTAACTGTCTGTCTCTTACTTTAGAAATGAGGCAAACAAAGGCCCAGAGGCAAGAAGCCCCTTGCCCATGTCCACACAATCACTGTCAGACATGGGTCTAGAACCTAGGTCTTCTGTCATTCAGGCCATGTCTTTCTCTGCCACATGGTCTTGCCTCTTCAGAAATATAATTTCTGGGAAATCTCAAAGCCTGAAGTTGGAAATAACCAAAGGAAAACAAATTATCAGAAATTCAGGCTTAAAAATTAAATTCACCCAACAGTGGGAATTTAATCTCCCTTTGGCATCCCTCTGGGGGGGGCACTGCCAAGGTGCCAGTAGAAATATTTCAGGGAGCCAGCATCTATCAAACACGAGCCCTGTACCAGTTATATGAGCTTCTAATATTAGTGAGAAAATGGAGAAGTGGGGCCATTTCTTTTTTGTCCTTCCCCAAAGGTATCTCTGGCTGACACCTCTATACCCAGCTAGGATTCTTCCCAAGAAAATCACAAAGGTCAACTTTAACCACAGCTCAGTCATAATTATCCTGGGATGCAGAGGGAAGATATGAATTTTAATCAAGCATTTGCTTCATCCGGTTGGCTTCTAAGGGCTACAAGGAGCTATTGTCAGGTTTATTTAAGCTTCACCAGTGTCATCAGCAAGTTGTAACAAAGAAAGCCAGGCCTGTTCCCTGTGACTTTGCAGAAAATCACGGATATGAATTCTCATCTCGTAATAAATAACTGACTAGAAGAAAGGAAATCTCTCTGCAGCAATCTGTAAATAGGGCGATGGCTCCAGAGAGGCACCTGGTCATCCTTTAGCTCTGGCCCTCCTTAGAAGAGGTCAGGTGGGCTAATAAATGATTCAAACATTCCCCATCCTCTAGCCAGCCCCAAACTTATGTCAACACCAACTTCTGGGGACTACTACCATGCAGAATGTTCAGCCTGTACAGGAGACAGAGTGGTACAGTCAAAATAGTGCTGCATTTGGACCCAGAAGCCCTAGGTCCAAATCCCAGTTCTGCTGTGTGTCATCCACATGACCTCGGGCAAGTAATTTTACTTCTCACCTTTGAAATGAGAAGGCTGGACCAGAGGACTTATGTTCTTTCCAGTTTTAAATCTATGACTCTAGGATCTGATACAGTGCTATAATATCTTAGAGAAGCTCACAGGGTCCGTAATTTAGAGATGGAAGAGCCACGAGAGGTTGTCTGGTCCACATTACCCACTCCCCCTCCACTTTAGAGATTTCAATGTCAAACAGTTATAACCAAGGACATCACCTACAAGAACCCAGGCATGGCCTTCAGCTGCAATGACAGATATTCCAAGGCTGCTTGATAACGATGTCAGCATGCACGGCACGGGGTTTGTGGGGCGACGTAAATATTTGGTCTTCCCCTTGGATAGCCATCATTTCATGTGGCTGATTGAATGGAACCCCTTGGGGACCATAAACAATGGCTCACTGCCACGGTGCGTTTGGATAAAGAACCATGGGCACTCTGAGCAAACATGCATTCCATATTTCATTTTTAACCCAATTTCCATATTATCTCCAGAGGATACTTCTTACAGGCACATATTAGTTTTGTCTCTGAAAAAAAATAACACCCGTTCTTTTAGATAAGTAACCTCAATGGTCTAACACTCTTGTTGTTGATATGTATAGATTTAAGGATGCCTTTTAAAAGTCTTCAAAGTTAACAAATATGAAATTAATATTCTAGGCAGTAGCATGGGCTGAAATAGGGAAGAGAAATATCAACGGTGGCCACAAAGAT